AAAAAAAAAAAAATTAGATCAGGAGAAGTAATCAGATTATTAAAACGAGAGCACAAGGACAGAAGGCGGTGGTGGAGGGAAGGCACAGATTTGAAATGCAAAGAGAGAGAAAGACACCGGTCCCACCGCGCAGTTCTGACCCCCTGGACCACGCGCCCGGAATCCTTAAGCATTCCCACATTTCTGCTTCATCTGAAAAAGGAAAAAAAAAATGTTTTTAGACGCCTCTGTTGAGGAAAGTGGGGGAAGAGGCGGCAGGCACCTCCTCCGCCTCGGAAAACGATAAAATAATATTTTGAGGTTTCCAGCTCACCTTCCATAGATACCGAGACAAATTGCAAGAGCTAAAGAGGCTCGGGTGAGCGCTGAGCGACAGGTTAAAGGGTTCTAATAAAGATTAGATGGTCCACTATCTCCTGAGGAAATTGCATAAAAGTGCTTATTCCCTCTTGCTTCTATTAATTTCCTCTTCCTGGCTGCTTGGAAATGCTTCATAACCTGATGCCGCAGACTTGGGGGTGGCGGGGGGGGGGGTGGCGGGGGGAGAGACAAGAGGAGCTTTTCCATTATCTCAATCACTGCGCTGTTTATGAGACACTTAATCTGTTTCTTTATAAAGTAATAGTCCTGGAGGTGATGGATTCGGTGTCACCGCCAGTCCTACGTGCCGGGATGGGAGGGGAGGGAGGAGGGAGGGGGGTCGTTCTCAAGAGCATTGTATAAGCAGCAGGTAATTTGTTACATCTTCGAGGCTCTGAGGAGTTGGGGGCGGAGGGGGGGCGGAGGAGAAGAAGAAGGGTTGTTTTCAAGGTGACCTTCTGGATTCCAGCTAGAGGTGTCGTTTTGCCAGCATATTAGGGGAGGGAGATGTATGTTTTCAGATGGGGGGGGAAATGCACGTGTGTGAGGGTATATGCAGATCTCGTCTCCGGGCTCCGTCTCCTGTCTGTGTCTCTGACAGAACCCATAGGCTTGGCCCAGACCTTCTGCCCGATTCACGATCGTTGATGATGACTGGAAAACCACGCATGGTTCTCTTAAACAAAGCCACCTCCGTAGCTCACAGCTGTGTCAGAAAGCTAGCCTTCCACTCCAGGAGTCTCAGCAGCAGAGGTCTGCGGAGATCCTAGGCTGGACACTTCCCGCCTGGCCCATTCTGCTGCCTCTTCCCTCCTCCTCCTGTCCTGCCTCTCTCCTCTTCAGCTCTTTTCCCCGTGCCCCTCCGCTCGGAGTCGGATTCCCCGGGCAGAAGGCAAGCATTACCGTTTGGGAAGGCAGTGTTCCGTCTGCCTCTCCCCCAAGCCTGTAACCCCCTAGCCTGCACCCCTCTGTGATGTTAGCACGGTGCCTGGCTGGTGGTAGGCCTCCAGTAAATATTTACCGAATGAAGGGGCTTGTGATTTCAATAATCACGCCGACCATGATTTGAAATCGAGAGAGGGGAATGACACACGTGGGCATTTTGTTGGCTTGGTCTTTGGTTGTCTGTTTGGGTGGCATTAGGGACTGAACTCAGGGCCTCTCACTTGCTAAGCAGATGCTCTACTACATAAGTCACACCTCCAATCCAGCTGGATCTTTTTTTTTGGATGGTCATGGGGCTTGAACTCTGGGCCTGGGCGCTGTCCCTCAGCTCTTCAGCTCAAGGCGAGCGCTCTACCACTTAAGCCACAGCGCCACTTCTGGGCTTCTAGTGGTTCATTGGAGATACAAGTCTCACAGACTTTCCTGCCCAGGCTGGCTTTGAACCACGATCCTCAGATCTCACCCTCCTGAGTAGCTAGGATGACAGGTGTGAACCACCGGCGCCTGGCTTTTTTTTTTTTTTTTTCTGGTTATTTTTGGAGATAAGGTCTTACAGACTTTTCTGCTTGGGCTAGCTTCACACCTTGCTTCTCCAGATCTCAGCCTCTCGGGTAGCTAGGATGATAGACACGGGTCACTGTAGGTTTCCTCTGATAATCTTCAAGGTAGGGTCTTAATGTTATCTCCAGGCTGGACTGCAATCCTCCTCTTCACACTTCCTGGCTTGGCCAGTGTGTTTCCTCCCGTGGCTGGGATGGCAGTCACACACCATGACACCCGGCCGTAGGTCATGGAGTCTTATGAACTCCCCCCCACCCACCCCGGCACTGGCCTTGAACTGTCATTTCTTGACCTCTTGCTTCCTGAGTAGCCAGTATGATAGGTATAAGCTACTGTACCTGGAAATACCTGAATTGTGAGAGACTAAAGAATTGTGTTATTCACCTCAAAAAAATCAGTGAGATAGTTGGTATTTTATACACACACATACACATGTGCACACACACATACATAGCTGTACAGCCTCTGGGCTTTGGTATTGCCTCTTTTCCTTCCTGCATTACTCCCAGCTGCTTTGCATACCCCAGCGATTCACCTGACCTCCAGGCCAGTTGCATTTGCTTCTTTTGGCATATATACTCTCTTTACTAGAATTGACCCAAAAGGTCCATTCATCACTTCTAATTAAAGCTGGGTTGTTGTTGGTTTTTTCTCTCTCTCTCTCAAGGGGCAGCATGGTTTCCTTATTTATTTTTTTGTGATAAAATAACAGCATTGTTCAACAAAAACAAGTCTGTTGCTTGTTAGATGAGTTAAAGAGAGTTTATAGGCCCAGTACCAGTAGGTCACACACCCATAATTCTAGCCATTCAAGAGGCAGAGTTCTAAGGATCATGTTCAAAGCCAGCCCAGGTAGGAAAGTCCTTGAGACTCTTCCATACAATTGACCGCCACACACACACAAAAAGACTAGAAGTAGAGGTGTGGCTCAAGTGGTAGAATGCCAGCCTTGAGCAAAAGAAAACACACACACACACAAAATCAAGAAAACTAAGGGGCTCTGAGAATTTGGCTTACTAATGTATCTTTCTAAGCCTACTCAGTATAGTCTCTACCTCTATTTCTCATCCTTCCCACCGTGTTTGTTTATTTCTGGTAACAGGGTTTGAACTCAGACTTGTCTGGGTAGAGCTCTATCACTTGAACCACACCTCCACACCTGGCCTTTTATTTTTAAGAGTCTCATGAGCTTCCCTGCCCCAGCTGGCTTTGAAATGTGATCCTCAGAGCTCAGCCTCCTGAGTAGTTAGGATGACAGGCGTGAGCCACCGGCGTCTGATTCCTCCTTGTGATTGAGTTTATAAAATGTGAGGGCCCTGTGGCAGTTGTAAGAGGTCTAGCCTTCTTATTTCGTAGTTATATTTATTATAACTCTGAGGCTTGAAGTCAGGGCCTGGGCGCTGTCCCTGAGCTGCTTTTATTTTTGCTCAAGGCTAGCACTCTACTGCTTGAGCTACAGCGCAACTTCCGCCTTTTTCTGTTTATGTCGTACTGAGGAATCGAACCCAGGGCTTCGTACATGTGAGGCTTGACTTTTATACAGATGAGCAAAGTGGGACTCAGACTCCTGCTATCCGCCCTGGGTTAGAAGCAGCAGAACCAGGAGCTCATGCCTTCACTTGAGGATGGAGTCCAGTCCAGCCTTAAGGCATCTTTCCTCCATCACCCCTATACCCCAATCCTCTTTCCCCCTGAAGGCCAGCTTGAATGTAGCCCCCCTCTTCCTTTTCTCCCCCTTGTGCTGGGTTTCTTGCAGTTTAGACGCAGCCACCCAGAGCAGTGATCTTCCCTCATGATCCTCTCCCAGACGCCTCTGTGTGTATCAGGAAGACGGTTTACGCCGTTAACTTGCTAGATGTAAAGCGGGGTGGGGGAGGGAGGAGGCTTTTAAGTGCTAGAAAGAACGCAAAAACACCAGCTTCTTCTCAGACTGATGCATTAAGAAAATTACAGGGTAGCATGGACCAAACAGGAACGCACGGGCAATCGCCACTTCCCAGGGAAAGTCCTGCTGCTTCCCGGCAGGCTGCCCAGGCCCAGGGCCCTGGTCTGTGACCTCGGTGGGGGGAGGAACCCAGCAAGGTTGGGGGTGTTAAGAGCACGGACCAGGCCCTCCTGCAGGAGATTCAGAAAGAAGAGAAGAAATGGGATGGCGAGCGGTGGATTCCAGTGCCTGGTGTCTATAATCCTAGCTACTCGGGACGCTAAGATCCAAAAGGCTCTCGGTTCAAAAACAGCGCAGACAGAAAAGTCTTGCGGATCCCATCAGCAGAAAGCAGGGCTGGAGGTGCAGGGTCAGGGTGAAAGCACCAGACAAGGCAAGTGTTAAGACGTCAAACCCTGGTCCCAGCAAAACAAAAGAGACAAAAAGGAGAAGAGAGAAGAGAGGTGGGGGGGGGGGGGGGAGAGGGGCGGGGGGAGATGAGCTCCGTTCCTCCCTTGCCTCGCCCCTGAAAGTCTATCAAGACGCAATTAACGGGGGAACGATGTTATGAAGGCAGTAACCTTGAAGTGGCTTTAATTTCCTGTAAAAGGGTCGCTCATCAATTTCAGGCCCCAGCCATCGGTCATCAGAAGCTGCGGTTGACGCCGTGTGTGTGCGCGCGCGCAGGGGGCGGTAGTGTGACATGGAGCCTTGTCTGGCTGGTTTTCAACCAAGACCCCTGGATCTATGTGAGGCTTACCAGGCCCGATGCTTTTCCCTGAGAAACCCTGGTCGTTAGATGAAGGCGGAAAGGAGGCGGCGGCGGGAAGGGCACCGTTTATCCGACGTGTGCATCTCAGGCCCATTCGATTCGTTTCCCCAGTTAAGTCTTCCGACACACCTGAAAGGGGAGACCTCTTATTTTATTTTTTCCTTTTTCCCAACGTAGTCTTCAAGTTGAGAGAGAGGAGCCATGGGCCCCAGGAAGATAACATTTGAGGGATGGACAAGGCATTAAATAGAGGTTCTCTTCCACCTGAGCGGCTCACTTCCTAAATGGGCTTAGAGCGTGTGTGCGCGTGTGTGTGTGTGTGTGTGTGGGGGGGGGTGGATGGTCACTCAAGAGCCTTTGGAGAACTGTAGCACCTTCCCCCCCGCCCCCTGGCTGCCTCCCTCCCGTTCACCCTCGCGTGATCTCTCTGTGTTACAGCCTGTCCTGCCGGAACCTTCAAGGCCAGCCAGGAGGCCGAGGGCTGCTCCCACTGCCCGTCCAACAGCCGTTCCCCCTCAGAGGCCTCTCCCATCTGCACCTGCCGGACCGGCTACTACCGAGCGGATTTCGACCCCCCCGAAGTGGCTTGCACCAGTAAGTGTCAAGTAATGGATTACTGGGGGGAAGGGGAGCGAGGGGGGAGGAGAGGCAAGGGGTGGAGAGTTTGGGTCCTTCCGGACAGCACAGCGCCCTGTGGATCAGGGCTCAAAGCCGATGCGCTGGCCATGGTGCTGAACTGGACAGTTACCTCCCCACCCCCAAGCGGAGGGAGAGCTTTCTCTCTGCGCAGTAGCCCAGGTTAAGAGTTCTTGCCTTCTCCCTCACATCCGGAGCCTTCCTTCCGTCCCAGGACATCTTTCTTCCACCCACCAGACAGTTAACATCTCCCGGGCGGAGAGTTCTCAAGATCCACGAAGCGAAGGCAGCAGTTCCCTAGTAACACCTCTGGACTCGCTCTCCCGGTCTCTGGAGTCTCGCGACTGTCTTCTCTCTCCTCATTCGGTGGGACTGCGGTGTATCTGAAAGCAGACTTCCCTCGGAGGGCTCCTGATGGTACCCGCACCTACCTGTTCTGTGGTTCTTAGCCCTCCAACGGAAATCCTCGGCTGCCGGCACCCTGTATTTTTTTTTTTTTTACTCTTTCTGCGTCTTTTCCTGTGTCACCCATCGGTGCTCCTCCCCGGGGAGAAGGTCAGAGGGCTCAGCATGCATTCTAGGGACTGGAATAATGGGGCCTAGAATTCTAGGCACAGGGGTTGGTACACCCTGTGCCTCCAAGCAAGAACCGTTAGCCAGCCAGAAGAAGAGGGAGAGGGGCAATTCTCTAGCCCTTCGGAGACCCTCTCCCCCCCCCCCCTTTTTCCCCCCTTCTCAGGCTTCCAGTTCAGAAGGAATCCAGTAGGATTCCATCTTTTTTGGTATCCAATAGTGTTCTGAAGTCAGTAGTTTGACTTAGCCTCTCAACAGTGCTGGAACTCGCTCCTGCCTCGGATCTTTCTAGGCAGGGACACCCATGGACTAATCCTGGTTCATCTAGTTTCAGGACGGAAGGTCACGGAGAGCCTCTTTCAGGCGTACTCACAACTTGACAGACAGAAGACACACATAGCTTGGCTCTGAGGGGAAGAGTTTTTCTCCCTCCCGGCCTCGTGGATCCAGGAGCCCTTGCCGGGTTCAGAGGAGGGGTGAAGGCACCTTCTTCATGAAGGCCCTGAGCGCGATCCCCGCTTACAGATTTGAGCTAGGCCGGAACATCTTCTCTTGTGAACTGATTTTCTCAAGACCACCACCACCACTGCCTTCTCCTCTTCCTCCTCCTCCACTTCCTCTTCTTCCTCATCCACCTCCTCTTCCTCCTCCTCCACCTCCTCTTCTTCCTCCTCCTCCTTTTCCTCTTCCTCCTCCTCCTCTTCCTCTTCCTCCCCCTCCTCTTCCTCCTCCTCCTTTTCCTTCTCTTCTTTCTCCTCCATCTTCTCCTCCTCCTCCATCTCCTCCTCCATCTCTTCCTCCTCCTCCATCTCCTCCTCCTCCTCCTCTTCCTCCTCCTCCATCTCCTCCTCCTCCGTCTCTTCTTCTTCTTCCTCCTCCTCCTTCTCCTCTTCTTTCTCCTCCTCCTCCTCTTCTTTCTCCTCCTCCTCCTCCATCTCCTCCCCCTCCCCCTCCCCCTCCTCCTCCTCCTCTTCCTCCTCCTCCTCTTCCTCTTCCTCCTCCTCCATCTCCTCCTCCTCCTCGTCCTCCATCTCCTCCTCCTCCGTCTCTTCTTCTTCCTCCTCCTCCGTCTCTTCTTCTTCCTCCTCCTTCTCCTCTTCTTTCTCCTCCTTCTCTTCCTCTTTCTCCTCCTCCTCCTCTTCTTTCTCCCCCTCCTCCTCCATCTCCTCCTCCTCCTCCTCCTCTATCTCCTCCCCCTCCCCCTCCTCCTCCCCCTCCTCCTCCTCCTCCTCCTCCTCTTCCTCCTCCTCCGACGTGGGTAGAGATAAACAGAAATGATTGCGTTTCTGCTGACCAGGCCCTCTGTCTTTCTGGGGTGGCATCTCCTCCACTAATCTCCCCGAAGAGCCTGACAAGCCTTGTTTAATGGAGTTCTTTAGAAGCCACTTAAAGATGCTCAGGCACTGTTGGCCCGGCGGCCCTGAGCAAGGAGCAGCCCTGGCCCAGCCCGGCAGCTGTCCTTTCTTCCTCCCCGCATGGCCATGGCCGGGCTCCTGGGCGGATCAGCTCCTCACGCAGAGGCCTGCGTCCCGCAGAGACCTGCGTCCCGCAGAGACCCGTCTCCACCCAACGCTCAGGACCTGGCCATGTCTTTAGAGCTGTCGCGGGCTTCTCCCATTTATTCCCCAAGGCTTATCTTCCCTTCATATGACCTGGATCTGTAGAACCATTTCCCAGAAGACAACAAAACAAAACACAAAGATCTCAAAAACCTCTGCAGTCTGACGGTGAAAGACTTTCACTCTACTCTACCTAGCCCTGTCCCGAGTCGGCCTTCTCCCTCCCTCCCTCCCTCCCTCCCTCCCTCCCTCCTTCCCTTCCTTGCTTTCCCTCCCCTCCCCTCCCCTCTCTCTTCCCCTCTCTCCCCTGCCATCCCTCTGTTCCCTCCCTTCCACTCTCTCCCTTCCTCTCTATTTCTCTCTTCCTCTCTCTCCCTGGCATCCTCCCTCTCTCTCTCTCTCTCTCCTTCCTTCCTTCCTTCCTTCCTTCCTTCCTTCTTTCCTTTCTTTCTTTCTTTCTTTCTTTCTTTCTTTCTTTCTTTCTTTCTTTCTTTCTTTCTTTCTTTCTTTCTTTCTTTCTTTCTTTCTTCTTTCTTCCTTTCTTTCGTTGTTATTATTTGGTCGGTCATGGGCTTGAACTCTGGGCCTCGGCACTGTCTCTCAGCTCTTCAGCTCAAGGTGCATGCTCTACCACTTGAGCTACAACGCCACTTCCGGTTTTCTAGTGGTTTACTGGCAATGAGAGTCTCCCAGACATTTCTTGCCTGGGCTGGCTTTGAACTACCGCGAGCCTCAGATCTCAGCCTCCTGGGCGGCTAGGATGACAGGGGTGAGCCACCAGCTCGGGGTATGTGTTCGCCTCCTTTAACTCAGACTTCACGGACTTTCCTCCCCCGCCGCCCGCGCCCCCCCCCCCCCCCCCCCGCCCATGTCATAGCCGGCTTGGTGACGGGCACACCATCCTCACCCCTGTGGCTCTATTACTCTATCGCCATCGCGCCCAGAATGGCATGGAGCTGTGGATTTGCTGTGTGTTCCTCATGGACGCCACATCCTGTATGTTACACCGAGCAAAGGCTCGGACCAGGAATTGCCAGGTCAGAACCACGCGTGGCTGTGGTAGCTTCTGAACGCAGAGTTCCCCCCCCCCCCCCCCCCCCCGGCAATCTCCACCCCTGGGACAGACTTGTGACTCGTGGAGAGGGAATCCCAGCGGCCACGGGCCCCGGGAGGACACAGGGCTAGGCCCAACAAGTGTAAATAACCCTATTATTTTCCCGAGCCTCATTATATGTTTGATTTATTGCGTGCCAGGGAAGTACTGTATGAAAAAGTCAATTTGTTGGCTTTTATATTCTCATTAGGGTTTTCTTTTAAAGCATTCTAATTGGAGGTTGCCATCTGTTCTCTTCAAAAGGCATCACCCATCACCGCAGTAAATAATTTTTTCCCCCCCTTCGGATGGAAGGAGCATATTCGGAAGCTGTTGACAGGGAAAGAGGGGAAAGCAAGGCAGTAAGGCCTTTGGATCCCTCCCACCCCTACTCCCAGGGCAGCTCAGCAGGGCCAATAGGGAAGGTGGGGGGGGGCAGGGGGCGTGTCCCAGCCCAGCCAGAGAGAAGCCAGGTAGAGCCAGGAGCTGGGAACCGGCCAAGTCTTATATGTTAAGAAGTAATTACAGCCCAGGAAGACACCTTGGGTTATGTGGTTTATGAGAGAGAGAGAGAGAGCTCTTTCTTTTTAAAATGGCAAGGTTGACAGCACCCTGTTAGCTAGCAAAGAAGCTGAGTTAGGAGGGTCCAAGATAAGAGGCCTCGGAAGCCTGGAGGAGCTGGGGCCTGCCTGCCGAGCTTTGTCTTTAAGCGCGATTGCATGCAGAATCCATTCATTCCCAGACACACCAGACACTGTACAAGGAACTCTGGCAGCTTGAAAACCTGACCAAGGCGACAGAGTTTCGACTACGCTGTGAATTAGTGCTTTTTAAAGAATCTTGTGAAACTTTTGGGGCCAGCACATTATATCTGTATCTATGTCTATAACTGTACATCTATATATCTACATCTATACTTTCAATCTACCGTTTGTAAAACGCTAAGAGTGTGCGTTTATTCCATGTAAACACTGACAATGACCTATTTTCAAGCCCTGAGTTTGGGCCTTTATTTTTTCATTGTCTTTATGAGCCAGGATCTCCCTTGCTTGACCTCTGAGCAGTTCTGGAAGGTGTGTGTGTGTGTGTGTGTGTGTATAAGTGTGTGCTCACTCACCAGTGCTAGGGTTGGAACCCAGGGCTTCATGCTGTTGCTCTGCTTTTATTCCTACCCCCCCCCCCTTTTTTAAAAATTACTGTTATCTTTAAGTAGTTGTACAAAGGAGTTTGCCACTTAACAAAGGCAGTTGCGGCTCATAGCTGGCACTCTACCATTTAAGTCACACCTCCAATCTGATATTTTTTGCTGGTTTGTTGGAGATATAATCCTCTGTGCCCAGCCTGGCTTTGAGGCATGATCCTTCAGATCTCGGCTTCCTAAGTAGCTAGGATTACAGGCATGAGCTATGGAGCCTGGCAGATGTGTTAGTCATTAACCTACGGACAGATGGATAGATGGATGATGGATGGATAAGTGGATGGATGGAAGGGTAGATGGATGACTGATGGATGGATGGATGGATGGGCGGATGAATGATGGATGGATGGATGGGTAGATGGATGATGGATAGATAGATGGATGGATGGATGGGTAGATGGATGATTGATAGATGGATGGATAGATGGGTAGATGGATGATTGATTGATGGATGGATGGATGGATGGATGGATAGGTAAATGGATGGAAGGGTAGATGCATGATGGATGATGGATAGATGGATGATGGATGGGTA